ACATAAATGTTTCAAAGTTTAATAATCTCTTTAAAATTATATTCATAGTCTCTAACCAAGAACAAAACAGCATAGATCATACTTCCAGTTTCATGTAGTTTGCAATGTACTTCACGTTCAAGGTATAGTTTATTCTCAGCGAATACCATATACAATGCAATTTTCTCAAAACAGAGATATCGAGTTATCTATCAACCACGTCAGAAATAAATTTCGACTTTTTACAGGGCTGACAAGGATAGAGGTGTGCAAGGGAAAGGGATGAAGGTTACTCGTTTACCGTGCGCTTCGTGAAGCTTTCCGTTGATTTAATAAATAATTCCGCTTGCTTTCGAAGGAGCTTAGAGGATGCGCGTCACCTCACCTCCTTATCCTCGACGATGATCATTCTCATACCATAGGGATTGCATTCGTGCATTCCACGATGCTCATACGTACGATTACAGCGAAAGATGACTGGCGTATTTTTTGCGGTCGTTGACTCGTTCGAAATACAACGTGTCCGTCGTTTAAGCTTCTTTTAAACTACCTTACACACATGCAACCACGTGCCTTTATAGCTTCATACGCAGTTTCTTGTGTATGTTTGTGGTAAATGCTTTTGTTGTGTGTATTATATGTGGCTACGGTGATTTACGCTACCACGTGCCAAATTAATCTTTCGTGGCTATAGTTGCATGTTTAGTATACATTGGATAGTAATAGAGTACTGTGTAGGTATGATTGTTGCGCGGTTGATTGGTTAGAAGGTTCGAGTAGTCGAGTAATTTAGGGTTAGGTTAGGTGTTAGTACTCGTTTATCCCTATTGTTAATTAAATATTTTACGTTGAAACTAAGATTTGTTACCGACTGCATTTTTCCTGGGACAGATACTAAAATGCATGCATTTAAATGAACAAAATTAATCATAACGTGTCATGAAAAGTTCGAAGCTCAATTATACACTGCAAGTCTGTAAGAAATCACAATCTACTTGCATGAAATTTGTACCTGAACTTTTTTCGAAACGAATTCTAAACTCAAATCGCTGATCGTTCTCATGTAGGAAGCTATTTTTAACCGAATATCGGGACAAAATCGAGAGGAATACGATACGCAATCGATAATTTTAATGTTACGCATCGATGGACAATTATTATCGATTATAATTCGGTGTCATACATATTGATAAGACCGCGATGGACCGTGTTTTACATACGAATCACCGAGCGTGCACACGACACGCTCACACGCCTGAATACCAATGAACCAATGCGTACACAGAATCTCGAAGCAAAACTCCTGCCCGACCTAGAAATCTTAACCTTCATGTCACGAAACGACTGCCTTTTGAAAATCAGGCAAACTTTTTCACGTGCTTTATGTTTCTGCTTTCTTTCCTTTTCTCTTGCTTTCAGTAATCATACTTTTATAGAGGAAAGTTAATTTATTTAACAAAAATTAGATTGCTTATGTACAATTAAGCTAATGAAAAGTTCACTTAGAAAAATGCATTACTGTTCGAAGGTGTGAAATTACATGCAATTTTACAAAAATTAAAGTAACATTTTGCTTAATGTTAAGTTGTATGTATTTCTAAAGCTTGAGAACTTTGCAAGATATGCAACAAACTTTTGGAAGATTAAATACACAAATGATATACAATGTTTTAGACAGGACATATACAAGAATATGTATAAATGTAATATAAAAATTATTATTTTATATTAGTTCTATTCATTGAAAAGTATTACTTTATATCCAGAGGTATCTTTAAATTATCTTTCTATACTATCTGTTAACAATATTAACGTTCCTATGAAAGTAAAGGGCAGCAGGTTACATTATTACGTTAATATATTAGATCTTCCTCTGTGAAAGTTCGTGAAGCTTCGTTTCCACGTCACGAACAACTATGAGGATCTTAAAAAACTAACTGGACAACAGTTTATTTACATTTGATGTTAGTTATCGTGTACGAGCCCGTTACGTGTACACACCGGGTGAACGAACTTCGAAAATTTGTGGGCCTATTACGTGAACCCTTAAATTTCAGTGCCTATTTGTATGCCGAACAGATTTCTGAGGGGCCGATGCCGTGCTGCGCGGCATGGTGTCGATGGAACTAAATGATGGGGAAAGGGAGGTGTGTCTTACGAATATATGCTCGTTCGACATCGTTAATCGAATCGGTCGTAATTACGTACATCGTAAATTTTAATGATCCTTAATCGGATCGGCAAGTGGACTGGCTTCTTTTAACGGTGATGTTTTGAGATCCCGCTAAACATTGGACCAAAAAGACAATCTGCACTGTATGTCCGAGAACAAAGGCCCTTGAACTCGGTGGTTCGGTAAATATTGCGGGAAAAGTATCGGTTAATTCCTGAAAATAATGTTCTTCAAGCAGGGACACTCGAAAATTCGAAACTGCTGTATTTATACTTGAATATCGAACAATTATTCTCAATAAATATTCAGTAATCATACTTTTATAGAGGAAAGTTAATTTATTTAACAAAAATTAGATTGCTTATGTACAATTAAGCTAATGAAAAGTTCACTTAGAAAAATGCATTACTGTTCGAAGGTGTGAAATTACATGCAATTTTACAAAAATTAAAGTAACATTTTGCTTAATGTTAAGTTGTATGTATTTCTAAAGCTTGAGAACTTTGCAAGATATGCAACAAACTTTTGGAAGATTAAATACACAAATGATATACAATGTTTTAGACAGGACATATACAAGAATATGTATAAATGTAATATAAAAATTATTATTTTATATTAGTTCTATTCATTGAAAAGTATTACTTTATATCCAGAGGTATCTTTAAATTATCTTTCTATACTATCTGTTAACAATATTAACGTTCCTATGAAAGTAAAGGGCAGCAGGTTACATTATTACGTTAATATATTAGATCTTCCTCTGTGAAAGTTCGTGAAGCTTCGTTTCCACGTCACGAACAACTATGAGGATCTTAAAAAACTAACTGGACAACAGTTTATTTACATTTGATGTTAGTTATCGTGTACGAGCCCGTTACGTGTACACACCGGGTGAACGAACTTCGAAAATTTGTGGGCCTATTACGTGAACCCTTAAATTTCAGTGCCTATTTGTATGCCGAACAGATTTCTGAGGGGCCGATGCCGTGCTGCGCGGCATGGTGTCGATGGAACTAAATGATGGGGAAAGGGAGGTGTGTCTTACGAATATATGCTCGTTCGACATCGTTAATCGAATCGGTCGTAATTACGTACATCGTAAATTTTAATGATCCTTAATCGGATCGGCAAGTGGACTGGCTTCTTTTAACGGTGATGTTTTGAGATCCCGCTAAACATTGGACCAAAAAGACAATCTGCACTGTATGTCCGAGAACAAAGGCCCTTGAACTCGGTGGTTCGGTAAATATTGCGGGAAAAGTATCGGTTAATTCCTGAAAATAATGTTCTTCAAGCAGGGACACTCGAAAATTCGAAACTGCTGTATTTATACTTGAATATCGAACAATTATTCTCAATAAATATTTATCTGAGATAATAATCAGATTAGGATTCTTTTCCTGTTAAATATCGCGTTTGGGTAATAGCTCTTGATAGCAGTTTAAGGTAAAAATGAAGGATAACATATTTGATGCAACTTTGTTTCTCTGGGTCACTTGAAAGTCGACTAATCACAGTGGTTCATGTCGTTCCTGTTGAGCTACCATTAACCCTTTGCAGTACAATGACGAGTCTAACTCATTACGAACTCTTCGTGTCAAATTTCGAGATATACTATACTAATCATGCGAATATAATTATATTTCACGCGTCTTAAGATGCACAGAATTCGAAGAATTTCTCCAATTCTTACCCAATCTTATCGTCCATGAAACAGGTATATAGTGGGTAATTAAAATTAAATACCTACTTCAGTGTATAATTTGTAATAATTAAGTCATAGTGCAAGAGGCTAAAAGAAAGTATGTTATTATCAAGAAGTATAATGGTCTTGGAATTTTGAAAATTACGAAGATAAAGGATCACTTTTCTAAGTAGCAGATTCGTAACTACCATAATTTTCTATTTTAATTTATTTTTGATAATACCTTTTTGAGGATAATATATCCTGCACGTTGACTTCTAAGTAATTAAATTGTAGTAAACTATATTAAATTGGTTTACAACATCTTCAGTGTTTTAAATACTTATCGTCATTCCCATTCGTGGTTTCGTATGATAAATCCTGTCTTCTTGAAAACGTGAACGTTCTAGGTTTCCCCAACATTACAGGGATCTGATGACACATCGATACTGACTCACTATTATGTTCTCAGGGAATCCATACTCATGTTACAGAACATGGATAGTTAACCATAATCTCACACTCGATTGACCAATTAAAAAACAGTGGATAGTGTTTGGAAAAACCCTACAAGATCAAAAGATCAAAATCACTATCTAGGAATTTTTACATAAAATTTACATAAAACCTATGATTTCCATAACCATATATTATATTAACAAATAATAGATCATACATGAATTACATAGTAAGGGTTTACAAACAATTTAGCAGGTGTTCTATGTTCAAATTATAAATTTACCCTCAACTTGCAACAAACTATTATTAGTTTGCCGCCATAGTTATCAGCGCCATCTGAACAACAGTCTAATAACACTACGGATGACTAGAAGAATCAAATATGAATTCTGTTAATGATTTAAGAATTTTGATGATGATAATATCGCTACTCTATTATTTATTAGCTTACATTTCAGAAATTTGCAAACCACTATCGAAAATATTAACAAAAAGATAGTCATTGTAGTGCAGAGCAATAGTTAGTTTCGTGTCGGAGGTCAACGTTCCCAGATTCCCGGGCAGTTTTAATCGATCCTTATCGGGGCTAGCGGATCACCGGGAACGCGACCATTAATCAGATCTTCGTTAAGATCGATATCGATTACAGAGGTTCCCTGGTGGATCAGCGACTGGGTTCACAGAAAATAAAAGAACACTCACCGACGTGGCTTGGGTCGCAGTATCTCGTGACCGGAATCGGATATGCAGATACTCAGGCTCAATGGTCCCCCATAGTGTTCTGGAGGCGCACCGGTCTGGACGGTCTGCTGCTGAGGACTGGATATACTACCAGAACCGGAAGTGCCGGTCAAAAACAGCGGCTGCTGCCCGCAACCGTCCATCGTAGCACGCTCGACGTTCATTGTGCCTCCCGTTGCTGATAGCACTGGAAGACCTGCGAAATTAAAAACATTTTTAATTTTTAATCAAAAAACAAAAGAAGGCAATTCGAAGCACTTAACTTTTCCTGTAGAATCAGTAGTATCGTCGTTTTACATTTGCTCCGTATTTTTAATTGCATAACACATTTTAAATGTTAGTTAAAAATATTGCATCTTAGAGTTTAAAGCATAATAGAGACGAAAGATGAAATTTTATATGGTAAAAATACCTTTGGTAAGAAAAAGAAAGTATTGGAATGTATTCCAAGTGTTTCATTTTCTTAATGATTCCGAGGGTGAAATAGTAGCATAATAATATATTCGTAATAATAACATTTCGATTTAATTAGTTGCTAAAATAACTTATTTTATTAACTAGTTCATAAAATAATGATATAACCCCAGTAATAAGTATATGTAGATCTCTTTTTTATCATTACAGATCCAAATATGGTATGTCTGTAAATATGTATAGAAACTTGGCGCGAGAAACCCGCTGATCGGAAAATCTTCAGTGGAAAGTAATTATGCGAAACTTTCTTCTCGAGCTCGAAGGTCATTAACGAGCGTCTGGATGATTCTGAGAATAATTAGTTGCGCGATAGCATCACGGATGGGAGGAAACAATTATTTCACTGTTCATACGCGCGGTGTCTGTTGTCGCACCGCGAATGCCGCTAATTATCGTTGGAAACGCGCCGAATACGTTAATAGGAAGAGTGTATCGCCTGTTACATCGTTCGTTTCGTGCGAGGTTCTGTGTCTTTCGTGAAAATTCGTTGAAACTTTCTCCATTGAAAATATGTCCGCCTATGGAGTGATGTGAAAAATGATTAAATAAATTAGAGGATGTTCGACATGTTTCTGAAATGAGGTGAAAATTTTTCGAATACATTACAGTCATTGGGAAAATGTTTATATATGAATGTCCAGATCTCTTATATGTTCCAGAGTTATGGTTTCAAACGTATAGAATACAAATATATCCTTTATTTTTGGATCATCCTGTAAGTAAACATTTTGCTTTTAAAAATATCGTAGACCTACTTACAAATGGAAGTTGTATTATTTTGTTACTATTTACAGTTATATATATTTAATACGTATATTATCGTAAATTATTTACAATAATTACATCATCAACATTTATACACTTTGTTTAGGAAGCTGAAACAAATAAATGGTTACAACTCCGTGAAGAATATTTATGCTATTTTATGTACTTTGAAATAAATATGTTTGCTTACTTTAACATTTTGAGAATCTTGGGTACTTTCATGTATTTTCAGATAAAAATTTTATGTATATTCGTTATACCAAAATTTGCTGTGTTCTTTTTGCGTATCATTTCTGTATAATTTAGGTTATGGCAGAAATTCCCGTCCGTGTAAACTGATACAACTGCGCGAACTAATAACCGTTCTATGAACTGTAATTTGAGGTTAGTCGCTCCTTTGCCGTTCGCTACGCAACTTATTAACGATCACGAAGAGAACGCGAGGTAGAGATTCCTTAAAAATTGTCACAATTAGGTTATGAATTGTTGAACAATAACATATTTTCTATTAATAATTCTAATAAAATTTTAATGAAGAATGTTGAATTGTTCATTTACTTTTTTTAATTAGAATAATATTGTAGTATATAGAAAAAATATTTTAGTACGAGTTTTATGAAAGTTGGAGCAACTTTGAAATCAGAGATTTAATTCACTGGTAATTGGAGAAATGTTCATTAGCATTTAAAGTAATTAGTATTTACATTCATTAATATTTCATTAGTATTTAAACATAGAATTATAATATTACACGTTCTGTGAAGGTCGAAACAACTTTGAAATCGAAGATTTAATTCACTGATGGTTAAAAAAATATTCATTAGTATTTAGAAGATCCCGTAGACTAAGTATTACAAGCTACAGACAAGAGAAGAGAGATTTATGATTTATGATTTATGAATTAGAAAGTTGAATACCCTGAAAACTATTCCTTTTAGACTATATCTCCCGAATTTATGTACTTTTATATGTTTCTTCCTTTGTACAGAAACATGATTTAAGTTAACACGAATGTTATCTGTCAAAAACTTATTAACCTCAAATTGATTGTAAATGTATATAAATTATAAATATATAACGTACGTTTTGTTTATCATCATATATTTCACTGCATATACTCCATTACCAAGTACAAATTCACTATAACATAAATAGGAATTAATGTATAAAAATCTGAATATTTACGAAATTAGTCCATTTTAGATTTTGGTTTTATTTCGTATAATATACATTTTCATTAATAAGGTTTTATGAAACTTGGGTTGTAAAAAGGTAGCGACTATTTAATGTAGAAAATTCTGGGAAACGAATATTTCGGTGACTCACTGCACATATATGGGAAAGGGAACGTTCGAGTTTCGTACCCGTTAAAGTAATATTCCCCCGCACACACACTGCTATAGATAGTTACCAGAGAGCAGTCACGGAAAAATGTTGTAACACGCGCATCTTTAATTTTTCTATTGCATGGCGTATGCTGCTACCTCCCTTAACCTCGATGCTAGTACGATCTGTTCCCGCAGGCGATCCAGTTGATAACTGGTTTTCAATAAGTCGCTTGTAAACGTGGCCGGACCTCAATATCACATAGATGACAGACTTTCTGCAATAATTATTCAGCTGATCCATCATGTATGCCTGTGTTATATTGAAAAATAATACTGCCTACATTTAACAATGGAATTTAGAAATTTATTAAATCAAATTTTGAAATCTATGGAATATATCGCAATTTTAAATAATCTCACGAATTTGATTGTAGCGATGAAAACTTTGCAGAATTAAAATATCTGTGTCCTATATTTGTCTGTGATGTGACACAACGTACAAAATAGTTCTTGTTCATACTTCGACTTCTTGTTGCGAGATAAAAAGGTATTTACAGATAACATTATTATCGACTGTAATTTTCAATTTGCAGCATTATCGACCGAGTTCTTGCAATTTTCAATTAAATCTTTGATCAACCAATATTTTTTTGTGTCTAATTTTACAAAGAAACGCATTTGGCGGTTATTAATTCCCAAACGTTATTAGCAAATAAAATTCGCGTATACGTGGGAAATTATAACTGAAAAGAAAACAGAAAGAATAATATATATGTTTTAAAAGCTCCTAATGGAAATACTTTTTCTTTCACAGAAAAATAATGAGCCATAAGAAGTTGATGGTCGCAGAAAGTATGAACGCATCGATGCACAAGAGCAAACAGCGGTGGGCGCGGTTCGATGATGTCCCGTTGCATAAGTGGATGGCTATGGTTGGCAGTACAGTTCGATTAACCCCTTGAAGAACTGCAATTCTCCCCGCATGACCGATCTCATAACTCAACGAATAGAGCCATATGGGGCAGCTCGAGGATCAATATCTTGTTTAACCGACCGCACGAATTACATTTCGTTCAATAATGTGGGCGTAAAATGCATTGAAGAATGCAGTTTTCACGTCATTAAATCGGTCGATAACACTGGTGAAAATAACGCGTCGCAGTTGTGTGCTATTAATGGGTTTCTAACAAAAAGTTACTTGAATATTCTGCTTACTCGAAGTTCAAAGTGCGTATTAGATAATTTCAATTATTATACAAATTGCTAACATCCTTTTCCAACATGATTTATATAAAAATGTTTCGTTCCAGCGAAATTCGAAAGATTCTGGAATTGAATGGTACACTTGACTATCCGAATTATTGTTCAAACATTTAAATTATTGTCTTATATATATTAGCGAACTGTAAAAGTTCTCGTTTAAACATCCAATAATTAATTCGGTATTTTCTATTTATTTGGCACGATTAGCAAGAATGGAAACTTCCGTTGAATTTTGTCCATTCGAATTTAAAATTTCCCGCTGGAACCGTATAACCTAAAAATAACGCAAACGTGAAAAGATGTGTGCAGAAATCCTGTGCCATAGAACAATAAGAAAAAATAAAAAGAGAGAACGATGAGGAAAAATGTAAAAAGGAAAATAACGAAAAGAGCCATCAATCCACGTTACAAACGTTAAGCACAGGTGGCGCGGCGTCACCTTTTTGGAAGTTTCCGCAAACGAGGCTCGATGAGAGCGTGGTCTCGTGTTGCTCGCTTTGACGGGCCCTTGTATGCAATTACTCTGGCTGGCTTCCAAAGTGCTTCCTTAAGCGTGCATATCAGGAACAGCGCGTCCCGCGTTCTCCCTCCCTCCAACCCTCCTTCTTGCCCCTTTTCCACGCGAAGTGAAAGCACGCGTGCAATGTTAGCTGCCCTTTCGCGGAATTTTCATCCACGTGATGTTCGCGGAATG